GCGTGTGCCTGCGCAGCTTGGTTTTCTATGAGCACCTCATGACCAGGAGGCACTGGAGAATGCTTCTTGCCTGGATGGGTGTTTGAGTGGTTGCATGCTGTGCTTTTGGGGGGCAAGACAGTAGTGTGTTCTTTGTGGATTCTGCATTTTGGGCCTTTGTTTTATTTCACTTTTTCATCAGCTGGAAGTCAGCAGGGGCTTGCCTTTCCTGCCTTGCTTGTTCGATGAAAGGCATTTTCTCCTGAAAGGCTTCTGGTAGTGCTTTGTCCTCAAAATTTAAGTGCTGTTTGTGCTGTTCTAGATGTCCGGGACATGCTGTTCGAATGTTCAGACTTGCCAGAAAGAAAGAAAAAGTACTAAGAACATAAGAAGAGCCCTGTTGTCTCAGACCAGTGGTCCACCTAGACTAGCATTCTCCCTCACACAGTAGCCAGCTGGTTCCTCTGGACGGCCAACAGCAAGGCATAGAGGCCGAGGCCTTCCCCTGATGTGGCCTCCTGGCTCTGGGATGCAGAGGATTAGTGCCTCTGAATGTGGAGGGTCCCCCTCAGCCACCATGGCTAGTAGGCATTGATAGACCTATTCTCCATAAATCTAATCCCCCTTTTAAAGCTGTTTATTCCCGTGGCCGTCACTACATCCTCTGGCAGCGAATCCCACATTTTGATCACTCTCTGTATAAAGTAGTGTTTCCTTTTGTCCATCCTGAACCTACAGCCCGTCAGCTTCATTGGATGCCCTCGAGTTCTACTGTTTTGGGAGAGGGATAAAAATGTCCTGTATAGAAATATTGATTTCTATAAACCCCTGCCTTCCCCTGGAATGTCTCTTGCTGATACCCTGCTGTGTTGATTTCCTATTGAAGCCATATGGCCTCAATAGCCTGCCACATAACCCCACATTCTTCATACTTCCATGCTGACAGAGAACAGATGGCCTCTGCAAGCATGTCAGAAACGCACGTAGCCCATGGACTAGTTGGAATTTGGGGACCACATGACTGCAGGTGTGGCCTTCAGCGTCCTGACCATTCAGATGTTGCACCCATGGCAACTAAACAATTGGACACTCCCATGTCTACTCCAATTGGCCCCTGGCCTCTCAACTCTCTGCACGCCATGCATAATTTTATAAGCCTCTCTCATGTCCCCCCCTTAGTTGTCTCTTTTCCAAACTGAAAAGTCCCCGACTCTTCAGCCATTCCTCATAGAGCAGGTGCCTCAACCCCCTAATCCTCTTGGTTGCCCTCTTCTGAACTCTGACCCTGTGGCAAGTGTTATGGCAATCAGGCACTCAGAGAACAGGGAGCTCTGTTGGAGTATATCAAGACGGGTGGCCGTGTTAGTCTGTAGCAGAAGAAAAGAGCAAGAGTCCAATAGCACCTTCAAGACTAACAAAATCTGTGTTAGGGTAGAAGCTTTCATGAGTCACTGCTCACTTCTTCAGATAGAGCGAGATGGGTCGTCTGTCTGTCTGTAGCAGACAGACAGGTGTTAGTCTGTCTGTAGCAGTGGAAAAGACCCAAGAGTCCAGTAGCACCTTCAAGACTAACTATCTGAAGAAGTGACCATTGACTCAGGAAAGCTCTTAACCCTGCCACATATGTTGTTAGCAGGGGTCATTTTGTAGAAAAAGAGGTGCAGGAGCTCATTAGCATAGCTCGTTAGCATGTGCCACACCCCCTGACATCACCGGAAGTGTGTCAGAAGGCAACACCCACCGCTCAGGCTCCACTGGACTGTTTTGGATTGCTAGCTGTTGGGGGGGGGGCGTGCAGATCTGTCCTCGCAGAGGAGAGAGAGCTTGTACCTGAATAAATCTTGGTCTTAAGGGTGCCACTGGACTGTTTTGGATTGCTAGCTATGGGGGGGGGGAACGCGCAGATCTGCCCTCACAGAGGAGGGAGAGCTTGTACCTGAAGGTGGGCCGGGGAGAGGGGGGGTCTGCAACTTACCTGTCTGCTTCTTGCTCCTCCTGGCCTGACTGAGGGCTGCTGGGAGCAGGGGGTGGGGCTTGTTGCATGTGCCCGCCCCCTGGGCTCCTTACTGCCGGAGCCCCACTCCTGTGCGCTCCCACAGGAAATGACCCCTGGTTGTTAGTCTTTAATGTGCTACAGGACTCTTGCTCTTTTCTACAGTTGGAGTATATGTAACAGAAAACCACACTCACTGACAAATAGAGGTGGGGATTTTAAAAAGTTTTTAATGGTGAACTGCTACAAGAATTGGGGGGTGGGGGGGTGGACCAAGCAATGAAAGTACAGGTGGCATAGAATAGAGGTGTAGAGTGAAGTGTAAGGAGAGCTGGAAAGGAAAATTGCAGCATAGATGCCAGTAGAAATAGATGCCTCATGCAAAGCCCAGGGGTGTGCTGTGTACACGAAGTGTAACACTAAAAGAGACCACTGAGCGTTGGTGCTTGCAGCGTGGCATAATAGTTATTCATTTACTTTCTGTATATCCCAACTTTTCTCTTCATTGGGGACCCAGAGCGGCTAACGTTGTTCTCCTCTCCTCTGTTTTTATCCCCACAACCACCCTGTGCAGTAGGTTAGGCTGAGAGCCTGTGACCGGCCCAAGGTCACCCAGCGAGCTTCCAGGGCTCAAGTGGGGATTCAGACCTGGCTTTCCCGGATACGGGTCTGATACTCTTAACCACTACGCCACGCTGGCTCTCCGGCTCAGTTTTAACTCTGTTAAGCCAACAACTGTTTTATTTTGGTCAGAATGGAAGTGAGCAGTCCTAGCAGTAGGGTAAATCGAAAGTCTGAGGAAACAAAAGAACGATAGACAAAGAACAACAGATTCTGTTTTATTTGCATATTGCATAATTATTATTTTTTAAAATTTGATTCATTAAATTTCAACCCCACCTTCCCAGCCGAGACCGGCTCAGGGGCGGCTTACATAAAACAACCTGAAATTTTACAATACACATAAAATAGATTAACAACAACAATTAAGCAATTCTAAAACCATAAATATAATAAAGTGCTAGTATCAGTAATTTCAGTAATTTCACAGCAGTAGTTGTTACACAATCCTCTCTCTTCGCAGTCAGCTCTTTGGTCTTCTTAGGTCGTTTAGGCAGGTCCTTAACCTTCTGATTTACTTTATATTTCTCGGTGGGGTGTTTCCCCCTTTTCTGCGGTGCGAGTCCTAGCAGTGTCTAGGCTGTCGGGGCCACAATTTGTAAGTACCCTTAATCAGATCCGGAAAAACAAGAGGCCCAATTACCAGCAGCACCACAGCAGACATTGTCTGGGAGAAGCTGAGGGCCTTTCTGTCCCCGTCTGCCAGAGGGGACAGACTTAGTTGGTTAGTGGCGAGTTCCAAATAAGCAAAACCCTTATTCTCATGGTTCCCGTTGGTGGTGTAGCACCCACAGTGTGTAAATACTGTTGCCCGCTAAACTTTTTCACTGCCTCCTGCCTCAGATAATTTATGAATGAATTAAATGGTACTCCTCTCCATACAGATTCCTCTCTATAAGATTCCCTTTATTCTTACCTTATGCTTCCTATTGATTTAAAATGTTTATTAGCCACTTTTAAGAACAAAGGAACATGAGGGAAGCCAATGTTGGATCAGGCCCATGGCCCATCCAGTCCAACACTTTGTGTCACACAGTGGCCAAAAATACCCGGTGCTATCAGGAGGTCCAGCAGTGGGGCCAGGACACCAGAAGCCCCTCCCACTGTGGGCCCCCCCCAGGCACCAAGAACACAGAGCATCCCTTGCCCCAGACCGAGAGTGCCTATCTATACCTTGTAGCTGATAGCCACTGATGGAAGCTAGAGTCCAGCAGTACCTGCAAGACAAACCAAGATGGCTTACAATAAGATACATAAAGATTACTGGTACAGTTTTCCCGGGTGCCTTTTAATCTGCAGAGCCGGTACGATCTGCCGTGGCTAATCAGAAGCTCTGCTGACCCTCCCACTTTCTTTCTTTTCTTTTTTTTGGTTAAAAACTTTTATTTTTTTCGGAAATAACAACAAATTCAACACAATTTTCGTTTAACCAAAAGAAACCTTATTCCCTCCTCCCTACTCCCTCCACTGGCTTCCCGCAATGCGTTCCCCTTTTTTTTAAAGTTGCAATATAACTCAAGATAACATAGTTTAACTCAATATTGTTCTAAACATAGTAAATTTTGCTTTACATCCCAGTTTTTCTCTAAGTATATTTTAAAGTCATTCAATTCTTCAAAAAATACTTGGTCTTCTTTGTTGTTCAGTTTTTTCGTGATTTTATCCATTTCTGCCATGAACAGAACTTTGTGTATCCATTCTTCTATTTCTGGTATTCTCTCTTGTTTCCAGCTCTGAGCGTAGACCATTCTTGCTGTTGTTATTAGGTACCAAAGCAGTGTTTTTTTTGTTGCATTTATTTCTTCCATTTTAAGCCCTAGTAATAGAGTTTCAGGAGTCTTTTTAAATGAGCATTTCGAATTTTTTTGCATTTCACTGTGTACTTTAGTCCAAAAGTCCATAGCTTTTTCACAAGTCCACCACATATGATAAAATGACCCTTCATGTTTTTTACATTTCCATGCCCCTCCCACTTTCAAAAAACACTTGGTGGCCGCCAGGAAAGGTGGTCAGCAGACACCATGGTGCCCACGAGCGCCACGTTGGGGATCCTGGTATAAAGACACGTGAAGCCTCAGGCAAGCTGACATTGTGGTTAGTTTATTCGGAGGGTTGGATGGATTGTGCCTGTTAAAGCAGCTCGCTGGCGCAGGGGCTTGGCCCCTTGGAGCCGGGGTGTCTAAACCGCTCTGTCTGAACGGTTTGTCCCAGGTCTCTGCCTTATCAGAAGATCCTTATTTCTGTTTATGCTTTCCCGGCTTCCGCATGCTTTCTTGCAAGCGCATCTTGCTGCTGCTGACCTTGCCTGGCGCCCCCCCCCCCCCCAGCCACATAAGCAGAGCTATAAGCAGAGCTCATTCCGAGAATCTCTTTCACCCAAAACAAAAAATGCTCTTGCCTTCTCCAGCTCAAGACAGTTTTGCAAAACCCTCAGGAAGCCCCTCCTGCTCGTCGCAAGAAGCAGTCGGGTCCTGCGGCTGTAAGTCGCTTGCTGGGGTAGGGTGGGGAGGAAAGCACCTCCTGCCCTGTCTGTCTGCCCTGTCTCTGTCATGGTGTGCAAGGGGCAGGGG